AAAAAACTTGCAATTTTAACAAGCCTTCTGGGAGAGTCTGCTGCACACTTCCCTAGGTTCTGAAGTCAGACCATATCTACCACCTGTGGACAGAGTGCCTTGTCTGACAGGTTGAATAACTGGGAGCTCTTGTGTCTGCAGGAATGTGTGTGTGTGTGTCTGTGTGTGTGTTCATGGCTTCTGCATCTGTGACCAGCAGGACACCATTAGATCACTTCAGCTTCAGGAGTCACCACAGGGAATCCTGTCCTGTGCGTGTCGGAGACAAACTTCAGTGTCTCCGCTTTGCCTTCTGTGCTAGTTTAATTCCTGCCTCCATCACTGCCCCTTCCCTGACCCATCTACTTCCCTAACCGTGGATTCCATTCCTCTTGCCACTTAAAAGGGAAGAGGCTCTGAGAAAAAAAGGGACAGGTAGGGGAAGCAGCAAGGTCTGTCACTCATATACACAAACACATGAGCAATGTCATGTCTGCCCTTATATCTAGCAGCACCTATGTTTGCATAAATCTGGCATCAACAGGAGAAAGCACTTGCAAATATCCATATGCAGGCTACCACATCCCTCCACACTCCAGCTCATCCTCATTGCTGTATTTATCACAAGGGCATACAGTTTTTGTATAGTCACCCTTTTTTATTTTTATTTTTTTGAGATGGAGTTTCGCTTTGTCATCCAGACTGGAGTGCAGTGGTGCAATCATAGCTCACTGCTGCCTCAAACCCCGCTCAATCATTCTGTGGCCTCAGCCTCCCGAGCAGCTGGGACTATGGGCACATGCCACCCTTCCTGGCTAACTTAAAAAATAATTTTTTTGTAGAGATGAGGTCTCACTATGTTGCCCAGGCTTGTCTCGAACTTCTGGGCTCAAGCGAGCCTCCTGCCTCAGTTTCCCAAAGTGTTGGGATTGCAGGTGTGAGTTACCATGCTCAGCCAGCAGAGGCCCTAGGTTTTAATAGAAGCTGGATGGAGAAGGCTGCTCATCCTGTTTCTCCGACCCCTACTTCTGGTGAGGGGTGATGGGAGGGAAGACAGTTACTTTGCCCTTCTTTTTATTTTTAATTTATCAATTGGTAAGTTTTTGGTTTTGTTTTTGTTTTGTCTCACTGTGTCACCCAGGCTGGTGTGGTCAGCTCACTGCAACCTCTGCCTCTTGGGCTCAAGCAATCCTCCTACCTCAGCCTCCACAGTAGTTGGGACTGCAGGTGTGTGCAACCATGCCTGGCTAATTTTTGTATTTTTTGTAGAGACAAGGTCTTACTGTATTACCCAGGCTGGTCTCGAACTCCTGGGCTCAAGCAAACCTCAGCCTCCCAAAGTGCTGGGATTACAGGTGTGAGCCACTGTGCCTGGCCCAATTTGTAGTTTTATTTGTTTAAAGTCAAGCTCGAGGTATAATTTTTTAATACATGCAGTATAGTTCAAGGGTTCCCAGGGCCCTTGCATCATTAGTTTATTTCACATTCACTCATGGCCACCTGTGCCAAGACCCTGCCCTGGACACACTCATACTTGGTAGGGAAGACAGCCGTGGAAACAGACCAGGAAGATTCAGTGCGGTAAGGCCAGGGATGGGGGTGAGAGGGAGCTGGGGGGCAGGAGAGGGAAGCTCTGCACAGGAGATGATGCCTAAACTCAGTAGAGTGGAGAAGGACCCCTGAGAACCAAAGGAGCACTGTGGGGCTCAAAGAGCTCACAGCCTGGGAGTCACCACATCCCAGGAGGCACTTCACACTTGTTCCATTTGGCCTGTGCTGGGTTTTTAAATCTTTGAATCATTGCCAATGCTTAAAAATCCGGAGAGTTCACATAAAAATCCAGAATCCTAGTTTCAAAAACCAGCAAAACAAAACAAAAACACAAACAAACCAGGAGCTCTGTGTCCTACTTGGCAGGACTTCGCATAAGGTGCCCCTCCAGCCTGCCAACCTCCCCCACAGCCCACTTACTATGTTACCTGTTGAGCCCCTCCTCCCTTGAGGCCTGGAGCTGTGCCGTCCACCAAGGTGGCCACTAGCTACGTGTAGCTCTTGAGCACCCAAAATGTGACTAGTCTGAATTGAGATATGCTTAAGCATAAAATGTCCATTGAATTTTGAAAACTAATTTCAAACAATGTAAAATATCTCACTAATAATTTTAAAAATATTGATTACATGTTGAAATGATTCTATTTTTTATGTACTGGGATAAACAAAATATACTAAAATGTTACATATTATTTACTATTATATTGATTAAAATTAACCTCACATG